AAAAAAAAAAAAAAAAAGAAAAGAAAAAAAGAAAAAGAAAAAAAGCAATCGACGAAAATGGGGTGGAAAATGGCAGCGGTGTGGTCAGCTCTATCGGTTTTATTCGCCTGTTGGCTGTCGTTCGCTCGCTACTCTCCTTAAGCCGATAACTTCCTTATTCCGCCCTCTCTTTGCACCCATTTAAAGCATTTAAGAGATTTCCCTGGATCCTTTAAGAAGTGACAACGTTCGAGGGATTAGTGGGAAGGTAAATACCTTTGGAGGAAAAGTCTTCGCAATTTATTAAGGCCTCGACAGTGCTGTATATAAGAGGAGATTCTTCGTACTTTTTTTCTCCTCCCTTCTTTCTTTTTCTTTTTCTTTTTTTTTTTTTTTTAATCGCTCAAAGGTCGAGCAGAGAGCAAAGTATCCGCAATTAAATTTGATAAAGTTTCTTTATTTTAAGGAAGGGGAAATAATTCGATATTAACGAACGCCTTCCAAGGGTCAAGGATGGGGCATTCAGTTTATTCGAGATGAATCGAAGCCACGGTTACAGGTATCTGCCCCTCGTAGTGGTACTTTTCACTAGAATTACCAAGGAGGATTTGCTTTGAAATGTTTCGAATTGAATTTAAGCAAGTTTCTCTTAACTCGAGAACGTGAATAAGCACGGTCGAAAGAAGATTTCAACTGTGTATCTTACGAAACAAAAATACCGATCCTTTTCCTTTACCTTTAATTTGCTTATACAAACTCGTGTATATATTTTATGTAACTGCTTATATGCATGTTAACCGTGAGGAGTAGCGTAATTCTAAAAAAAAAAAAATTAAAAATTAAGATTAACTTCTATGTAAATAGATTACAAGTCTGATCTGTCGTATTTTTCCATGAATATATATTTCATTAACGTTGTACGTATATATTTAAATTATATAGCTAAATCATTATATTAATCCCAATTGATTACCTTAAACGAAAAAGCTACAAAAGTTCGATACTTCATTCGCGAATAAATTTTACAAGAATTGAATAACAATCCAAAATTGCATTTCACTTTTCGATCTTTTCTATCCCAAGTCTAAAAAATTGCTTCCTTGCTTTGATAAATTCAAGGAAAGGATCAGAATCGAAGCCAAAAAATGAAGCGAAGCTCGCCATCGATCTACCCTAACTTAAAGCTTCGCGTGTGGCGGGCGATCAATGCGAAATAATTGAAACAAGGGGTTAAGGTAACGGCGGCATCGATTTTACCTGAATTCGGGGGGAGGGTTGAATTTACCCTCGACGCGTGATTCGTTGTCCGCGCCAAGGATCCCTGGGCTCGGTTTGCGGTCTTGAACGAGCACTTTCCTCCTGGCCGAATAACACCAGCTTTTGGGACGATCGATGGCCCGCCCTCGCAGATTCCTCACGCTTTGTGTGCCGCCGCCTATTTCCCATATACTATGTGTGTGGCACAATCAGCGCCAGCTGTTTACTCGGCCTGATTAACGTTGTTCCCTACACCGTCGCGCCTCGTTCTGGAACCACCAATCGTGTCCAATGGATACGTCATCGATTGGATCTCAACCTGTCGTTCTTCACCACTGTTTCGCGAATATAAATAATAGCCTTAAAATGTTTTTCGTTATCATGATGCTCTGTGCAATTATCGCGTGAAACGAAACGATTCCCTTCTCTTTTCTATTCCTATGAACAGAGGATTATACATGATTGGGTTGGTATTTATGATAAATTTGTTGATCGATTGATCGTTGCAAATTATGGAAATGAAAATTGGAAGGAAATTGGGCGGGGATAAACGATTCTTTGACGATATCGTTTGGATAGTGTTGTTGGTTAGTAATTGATAATTAATGGAAACGGAAATTGCGAAGAAGATCAAGAAATAATTTGGTCTGTTTAGGTATTTTTTTTTTTTTTGTGATTGGCAATGTTGGTTTATGACAAATTTGACGATTGCGATTGATGATTGTAATTATGGAAATGGAAATAACACGAGAAAATGGAGAAATAACGATTCAGTTTTTTTTTTTTTTTTTACGATGCTTGATTTAGTAAAGTTATTTTCATTTAGTGGGTTTTTGTGCACGATATTTTTTTTACATGATACACAGTTACAAAGTTTTGTTGTAATACATTTTATTCATAGTTATGCGATTTTTTTTGCACGTTTTATTTATATTTGCATGCATGTTTTGTTCGCATTATTTGCTTATTTTTATAAACACATTTCGAACCAAGGAAATAAATTTTAATAACATCGAATCGATTTAAAAAAAAGAAAATATTTATTTATTTATTTATTTTTTCATTTTCCTGAAAACATTAATTTTTCTTTTATGTGTTTATCATAATAGAATACTTTTAATATCGTTTCAAATTTGTGCAATCATTTTTGCAACCATTTCATTTTACGAGTAGAAATTGAATAATAAATGAGATATAATAAATTAACGTGCTTTGATAAGATATGTATCTGATGTTCCAAATATTTTTCATGATATATTCCCCATAACAAAAACAGATTCCACGAATATTTTAACTCTTAAAAATACGATACAACGTGGAATGGATGTTTTAAAGTGGTCTGGAGAAATGTCAGTTTTAGAGGGTCACGTCTCAGATTGCAGTAGTTCTCCCAAGGGATGGTTTAACGGACGCGTGTCCTATTTCGGAATGGAAAGATACAAGTCTCTTACTTCGTTCCCCGAGATTAGCCTCAAATATCGAAATCGTACAAAACTAACGTGTATTATATCGATTTCAATTGATAAATATAAAGATAATTGGAAATGTGTGTATGTACGATCCAAATATTATTAATTTATACTTTTTATATAAATATACTAATTTATAAATCAATGTCGTTAATATCGAATAAAAAATAGAAAAAAATGTACCATTGTTTGCATACTTTTTCTTTTTTTAGCCAATTGCAATTCGAAAATCAAAATGCATGCGAGAGAAACATTGGTACAATTAGATTAGTGTAATTGGACAAGTAGAAAGAGATTATGACAAGCCAGACATAGTTGGGGTTTAATCCTGGTTAGATAAAAGCGTCGGTAAAATCACTTTCCGTCGGTTAGTTTTCTTCATCCCTTGCCTGTTAGCGGCTGTTAGGGGTCGCTCTTAACAGCGCCATCTGTTGGAAAGGAAGATTAATCGATTTGGGTACAGTACGGAAAAATACACCCTTACGAATTTAGATGGCGCCAAAACGTGTCCAATAACATTCTCACCCCCATTTCCGCTAAATTAATAGAAATTTTCTTCGATTCAGTGCACTTTATATATCCCTATAAAGATAAAAATAAAATGCTATTTAATATTTTCATAATAACAAAAAAAAAAAACAAAACTATCAATACTTTGCCTTTCAAATTTTCTTTCCCCTAATTCTCAATCTTTTCAAACAATAAGATATATATATGCATACATATAAAACTCCTCGACTCTTCTAAAATTTCAACATTAAAAAAGGAAACTATATATCCAAGGTATTCAATCAAAGACACTTAAAGAATATAAGTGGAGCCAGAATTTATTCGATCGAGGATGAAGAGAGAAGAATGTTCGCGTCCCAGCTTTAAAATCCTTAATCATCCCCGACGAGGGTGGATGAGTGGACGGTAAGACGAGAGGAGAGAAGAGTTTCACAAAAGAGAGAGAGTTTCAAATTTATCTTTTTCGACGAGGTAACGCTCGTCACCCCCTTGTAAAAACTAGACGAAACCGATCGACGGTGGTTTCCAGGGGTTGGTGTAGGAGGAGGAGGAGGAGGAAGGGGGTGGCTATTACGTAAAAGCTTACGATTAGCGACGACCACACCGGTCCCGGGATCCCCTTTGATCGCCGCGAAGCCGGACTCCCCGTGTAATCACGCTGCCACCCCTTTGCCTCGTCCCTTTTCCTTCTTCTGCTTCTTCTTTGTGCCCACGGCGGATGGCGATAATTGTTTCATGCCCGCAGGAAGTAAAGCTCTTTATGCTGGAAGCTTTATTTTGCGGCTGCCGTGCCGGGCATCTGGAGCAGAGAGAGAGAGTCGGGATTAATTAATAACCATACCTACCCCTTTCGTTCTCTCTCTCTTTTCGATCTTCTTGTCTTCGCGCCCTTATTTCCGCTCTATTTCTCTCTCTCTCTCTCTTTCTCACTTTTTTCCCTTCCCTTCCCACATTCCACGTCTCCTCTGTCGTTTTTCTTTGTTTTCCTACCCCTTTTCTTTTTTCTTTCCTCCTTTTCCCCCCTTCCCTTTAAGGCTAATCCGCAGCAACGAGTTCGAGCGAAAATTAAATCAGAGCTTATTTGTCACGAGCGAGCACCGTCTGCCATTTTTATTCATCGATTATCCTAGCAACGGATTAACTAGCGTCCGACCACTTCTCGACCATGACCACTGCGGCCATGCACCGAATACGCAACCCTCGCGTTATGTCGATCTGATCATTCCTCTCAATCCGCATACGTGAATTGACTATTTAGATTAGGATTATATATGTATATATTTAAATGATTGGAAATGTATTCTATTATTATACGATATTTCCAATAAATATCGCAAAAATCTATCTCCATTCGACAAAAGTGGGGGGAAAAAGGAAGAAAGAAACTTCGTTTCCAAAAAACGCAAATAGAGAAATATACGAGACCATTTCCCAGACTTCTTTCTATTCTTTCCACTTCGAAAACGACTACTTCCATTCACCCAACATCTTATCCAGCAATTGAAACCTTACTCATAACCCTCATAGATCCCATCTACCGTCCGTCCATATATACACCACGTCCACGATCCTTCATCGTCGATATAAAAATTCCACGATGGAAAGCGAAGTACTGTACCTTTACATACACGAATGGCGATCTAATGGAAGAAGAGGTTGCATTTGAAAGAGACACACGCGCACGAGTCAAAATAGGTGGCTTCGCCTTCCGCCTCCCCTCGCCTCCCCGATTTTCCGATCGGATATTTCGAGAACGTGGATTCTATCGACGGTTTCTGATCGAGGGCGGGACGAGAGGAGGGTATTTGGTATGCGTGGAAGGGTGTCCGTGGCGACGCGTGTTATTTCGTGAAACGGATCTATTTCGAGGGTGCGCCTGACCCTTAAGTGATATGCGCCAGGAATACAAAAGGGCGTGGAGAAAAGGTGATGCAAGGACGGAGAGGGACGTGTTTGCTCGTTCGAAAGAAGGAAGAATCCGGGGCATCTACATGTATTTTCCATTCGTTTGCGATCCTCTCGATACGGATAGGGAGGAATACGGAGTGTGGAGGAAAGAGGAGAAATCGAAGGAGGGAAAAAGGAAGAAAAAAAGAAAGAGGAAGTGGTCGAGAGGCGCGATGGTGGACCTTCGTCATCCTTCTCCTCTTCTCTCCTCGTCCCTCGCTTCCTTTCGTCCCGCTTCCAGAAGAAACTCACGACCTGGAAGCTCAACCCTGCCCTCCCCGCCCACTTTTGTAAGGCACTTTTCTTCCGGAACGCTGGCCCGACAATCGTATTCCGCCATTACGTTCATCCAGCCTCTGTTCCATTCCTTCAATCTGGTCGCGTTATATAAGGAGAGTCTCTCTTCTCTCTTCTCTCTCTCTCTCTTTCGTCCTACCACATTCTTTCTCTAACTCCATCTAACTCTTTTCGCTGCCGCCACCCCGCGTCGAGTCGGATTGGAAAGTGTGCTCCGTGGAGAATTGGAAAGGAGGGATGATGGCGTCGCCCTTCTGCTCGGCCAACTCTAGAGATTCGAGGAGAATATGGATACCTGTTGAAGGAAGTCTCGCCGGATATTCAATGCCGCTATCACGCGAATCAAAAACTTGAGAATAGCGTCTTTCCCTCCATCTTTGCCCGAAATATTCGCATTTTCGAATTAAAATCTTCGATTATTGATCTTGGATTAGAAAACTTTCCCACATGAATTACAAAAAGGATGAGTTGAAGTACATATAAATAGTTATTTATTCCATCATCACTGATTTATATTGTTCTATTTGAATATTAATTCTATTTCATTATTTATACTTCGCTCGACTTTTCAAAAACATTTTTATTAAAGTTCAAAAATTGAGCAAACACTCCTAAAACATTAATCCCTTTTCAATCAAATTATTATCTTACCATTCCTATTTTTTTTTCCATTTTTTCACTTCTATAAAGCAAAAAAAAAATCTCATCTTAATTATTACCATATTTCCACGAATATACACATACACAACGACGTCTAAAAAAAAATCATCCAATCGATTTTCGCGTATTTCTCCCTTATTGCCTTCCACTATCCCTGGAAAAATCCTCGAAGGCCATCGAAGCCTTATATATTGCGGAAGCGAGCGCGACAAATTCTCGCACGCTTTATATTCGCGACAAGTGCAGACGTGCATTCCCGTAAGATTGGAGTGGAAACTTTCCCGCGCTGAATATTGCCAGCGTCGTGAAGTAGGCAGAGCAACCGGCCTCGACGTTTTCCCTCGCCCCCGACATTCGCTTGGATCGTGTGTGAAATCGCGCGTCTCGACGTGGCTCGTAAAATCCGCACCCTTTACTGCTCTGCGAGATTGAAGAATCAGGTTGTAAAGGGTTGAATCGGCGCGACGAGGGAGGTGGGAGAATGGAAAGGGTGGTGGAAAACGAGAAGAGGGGTCCGGTCGAAAATTGGGCTAGCGACGACGACGACGACGACGACGGCGACGACGACGGGTTTCATGGAGTCGAGAGGGATGTTGAAATATAAAATAAATATCTTAAATCCGGCTTGATCCTGGCTTTAATTAAAAGTTGATCCTGCGCTCGATACAGCCGAAAAGATTGGCCGCGCGCGGATCCAATTTGCGCGCGGATAATTTATCGGCCTGCCCTTTGAAAAAGTTCGTGCGCGTTGCTCTTTTCACCTCTTCTCCTCCGTAA